CAGGAAAGCCCCTCCGTTTTTGATGTTTGCAGCTTGGATGCTGTCTGAAATGAGGATGCCACTTGTGTCCTGGGTGGTGATGTACTCGGGATTCATCGCTGCCTTCAGGGAGTACTTACTACACGGTCTCTCTTAGTCTTGTACACACAGAGACACACAGAGACCCAGTCTCAGTCTGTTCATCCTAGCGCGCGGTCATCAACAAGCCAAAACTACGTTTCAGTTACTTGGGCTACTACAAAAGTGGCCTGCCACAAGACACCCAGGGCAAGTTATTATAACCTCCCAAGTAAGTACTACTTGTCGGTAGCCCCTGAAGATCGCGCCACGAAAGGGCCGAACAAACCAAAAGCGGTGCCCCAAAAACAAAGGCTCGCTGGTGCTCAACTTGTTGGGCTGACTTTGAACGACAGCATCAAGTGGCCTCATCGCGTGGCCGAGACGATCATGAAAGCCCCAGCGCCTCATACGGTAACACAGTCACTATTATAATGTCGGTCGCTAGGGGGTAAACCCACCACATGTTGGCAACGAGGGATCAAGCAACGCAGGGTTTCCCCCAGACTTAGAAGTGTTTCATGAGATTTTGAATTTACTAAGTTATTTCCGCATGAACGTTAAACAAAGTTCAATCCATAAAAGGTAAATGGTAAGCCTTGAATGAAGTTGTTTGGTGACAAGCCTTGCCGAGCCAGGTACCATTGTTTCTCGAAATTGCCAGCGACAAATAAACATTGATAAACACACAAATAACGCAAATGACTTTTTGACATTGTTAAATACACCCCAGATAATAATAATAAGAATAATAATGCGAATCTGTATGTGTGTATATATATATATATGGTTTCTGGTTGGCGTCCCTTTTAAACCACAAAAAAAGGTGCCATTGAAAAACATCACCTGCACTTAAGCAATGACATCTCAGAAAGCCTCCACATTCCAGTACTGCACCAACACTTGAAACTCTGGAATGCGGCTCATGGAAGATCAGGGAAGACTGGCACACATGAACCACGACAGGTGTTGTGCATCCCCCCACGTGGATGAGCAAATGTTGGGGTCCGGTGCTCCCGGCCGCCAGATTCCGTGGATGAATCAACTGCTCCGTATCATCCAGGTTCCCGCTTGCTAAACAAAGCTGGAAACCAAAGGACCGACTTCCCGTCCGGTTTTCCCGGCTGAAAAAACGCCTCAAGAAAAGAAAGCTGGCCGGAAACGGACCCTAGATTCCGATTTGCTCCAAAGTCGAAGAGAAAAGGAAAGGCTGGAAACCAAAGTTGACCCCCTATCCCAAGACCTGAACAAATCTGAGGTGTTTGGGGGTCCTTCATAAAGGGTCCAAGAACCTCCTACTACCAGAGGTTAGAATAAGGGTACTTTTTGTTCTTTCTTTTTTCGGTAGTCTGTTTTAGTAGGGGAACCCTCCCCCAAAAAAAAAGGTAAACGGGCACTACTGGGGGACCCAGCCAACAAACACTGTGGATGGTTTCCTGGAAATACCACTGAACCATGGTTTCCCTCCAAGAACCCTAGCCTAAGTTCGGACCGAGCCGAGCCAAATCGAGGCCAAAGGCACGTGGCCGCTAGCTGGGCGCCAGCAGATTGCCCCACCACGGCGCTTCGGGAGCGGTCCCCCCCGTGCGCAGCCTCGGGGTACGAGGAAAAACCTCGCGACACGTGGGTGTGTCGATTTTTGGGTTGAAACCCCTCAAACTGGCGGGTGTCCTTTGTGTCGAGTTTTTGGTTGGAACTTCGAACCCCCCCCAAACTGGCGGTTGTCCTTGGGGGTTTGTGCCGGGGAGAAACAAAAAAAAAGCTTGCGGGTACCCTCGACAAAAAGACGGACCCACTTGGCACATGGTTCAAAAAAGGGGTAAACCACCGCAAGCTTGGCAGGGGGTAGTTCACTGGTCTCCTGGAAAAACGACCTAGCGGATTGTCAACGAGCGTGGGCAGCCATTGCTGAGCTTTCCGGTGCGTTTCGAGCGACAGCCCTCACATTATTTTGCAAACTTTATGTCTAAGATTGTTTCCAGTACCCCAAAGTTGGGGTATATACCCTTTCTATAGTATAGAGGGTATTTCCAGTGGCTGTACATCCCATTCTGTATGCCCCGGAGAGTAATGATTTGGGGCTGGTGGAAACCATCGTGGATTGTAGCATCGATCGGGCTTTGACACGCTATGTTGGACCTCATAGATTTGAAAGATTCACGCACACCGGTATCGTTCCAAGAGTAATCCCTGTACCATCCAGGTTCCCAGAAGCAAGAATCTAACCAACCGCTCTGCACAAAGCAGCCTGACATGCAATGTCAGAGCCTGATCCCAACATTGAGTGGTGTTTCCGCCGCCATGCAGCCTCCGCAAATACTCCAAGATAGCTGAGGTTGCTGCTCAACGGGTAACATGCAACTGCAGCCAACAGTTCATACTGTGGATGGACGAAATCCTGCACCACTTGGAAATAATGGGAAACCATTGTTCATTGGTATTTGCAGGGGAATCATCATTCCAAGGCTTCTTAGGTGGTGCAGAATTTTGTCCATCCACAGTACATCACTGTTACATCACCAGCGTCGATGCAGCGTCAACCTCCTGCTCCCTTTCAATGACTGCGAATGATATCCCATGAGGTCTACAGAACATCGCTGAGTCATGCTTTATTGAGCAGCTTTGATTCGGCGCTACATGGTGAAGGACAATCGCCAAAAGCACTGACTGCCGATCCCTGCTTTGCATGTCTTGCCACAGCTCGAAACAGGGTAAGGCGGCTAGATTGAGGGGTCTTCCCTTCCACCTCCACTGACATCAGCGAGAAAGACATGTCCCTTGATGACATCTGATCGAGCAAGGTTCGGAGACTGAGCCAGTAAAACGGGTGCTTCAGACATGGCTGTGGGTCAAAACCCTGTACCCCTGGTGAACACCAAAATGGGTGTTCATCCGCCCCAAAATGGAGGCATAGGCTATGACTCATGGCCATATGGAAGGGGGCGCGGGTAGAAAAGTCACGCAAAAACAGAATGGCTGTCAACCTCGACAGGCCTGAGTAGGAATGTGTTGGCCTTGCGAATTGGAAGCCACTTGTCGGAAGCAGCACAAACAAGTGCGCATAAACAAACAGACAGACCGTCAGAGAGACAGACAGACAAACAAACAAGAACAATCGATCACAAACAAACAAACGAGCGCACAAGCAAACAATTAAGCCAGTCAGCCAACCAAGCCAAGCCAAGCCAAGCCAAGCCAAGCCAAGCAAACACGCATCACACACACACACAAACATGCCAACCAACACACACTCACACTTACAATCGCAAACATAACACACAACACACGCACACACACACACACAGAAGCAGGGAGCATGGCAATGAATGCGTCTGCCGTTCTGTGACACCGTTTCGCCACAACATTGTGACGTACTGTTGTTCTGACTCAATGGCTGGCACAGTTGATCGATTTGAGTCGAGTCGTGTGGCCAGGTAGGCATTACATTGCCAAAGATATCATATCTGATTGATGAAACAACATACCCATCCTTCCACAATCAAAAGGCTGCAACGTGGGATGGTACCTGGAAGATCAATTTATTCTTGGAGGGTCTTGCTTTCCGGTGCCAACGTGGGAGGGAGGGGAACTACCTAAAGGGGGAGCGGGAAATAACCATGGTTGTAAGCCACTTACTGAGTCTCCGTTCAGTGGGTTATAACCAGGCTTTCTAGCCACTTACCCACTTACCAAGTACCCGATCGCCCCTTTAAGTCGAGTGTCTTTGCGCCCAGTGTCTAAGAATCAGAAATTGCCAAAACACCGCTGGCGGCCGGGGCGCAATGTTCCTGGCAATCCAGGTAAATGCGGAATCCAGGTCATCGAGCATCTCTGGCAAGCTGGCCATGGGGAAATTGCCTGAAGCCAAGGCGTGACCTTCAATTTGGTTAAGGCCCCAGGCAAATATATATATATATATATGGTACCCCTATATATATATATTCAGTAGTCAAGGGGGAAAAACACACATATTCTTAAGCGAATGGAGGTGACCCTAACCCAAATCCGGATTTCTGTGCTAGGCTCTGGATGCAGAAAATCACTGGCACCATTCCCTGCCAGCTTGTGCAGCGGTAGATGTCTTTTCCCCGTTGAACCACTTCTTTCCAAATGGTCACTATGACCGTTGCATGGAGTATGTGGAGCCAACTCAGTGAGTTTGAGTTGACAACCAACCAGGCTCCAATCGGCAGGTCTTTTCGCCACATCTTCGCATCAACGGCCCGAGGTGGACAACGCGGCCCTTAAAAGGCAAATAAGTTCCATCTGGAGCACAGATTGCATACAGCACAAAGCAGCATATCACGAAAACAATCGTCGAACTAGTCAGCACCAAACAACATAATCAAACGTGTGGATGTCCGGCATTGCATGTGCCCAGTCTCCCACAACTGTAACGCAATCTGAGTAAACAAGGTGCCAATGAAGTGGCACTCTCTGCATCGATTCAGCCGTCCAAACCGGCACGATGTTCAGGAAACAGGCCCTGTTTGTCAAGACCGTTTCCACCACGCACCCGCAGGTCACACACGTCTCACACACAGCAAGTATTGAATAGATACACCTTGACTGCAGCAATGCTTGCGGGCAGGCTATGACTCCGGTCTCACAGGAACCCATCTTCGGGTTTCCCACGATGACGAGACAAAAGTTAGGATGCACATGCGCAAATTCGCCCCATGCCCCCCCCCGTGGGGCGTTGGGAAACAGGGAAACGGAGAGTCAGTGCAGAGTCAGCTGCCTCAATGCTTGCACACCTTGCGATTCCGATTCTGCCAAACAATTTCCGTGCACGGAGTCCAAGGGCATCCTTGAAAAGTTTCTGCTGAACGGCGTTTTGTTCAACTGAAACCATCTTCTGCTCAAGGGCATCCAATCCTTTTCTGCTTATAAAGGCGTCTTTTGTCTGACGGAATCGCAGCGACTGGAACTACCTGAGCCTC